ACCTTGGCGGGATGCTCACCAAGTCACTCTGAAGTATAAGCTTCAGGCCCTCCCTAAATGTAGCAGGAGGTCTAAGGATGGAGGCTGATTGACAGTGTCTAAAATTCTTATTTCCCTCAGGCATGAGATACCAGGTCTTTGTTATGCCATAGTGTCTTATCTTCCAGCAGTGTACATATCTTCATCATTACACAATTGCCTCAACATGCTGGGAATAAAAGCTCTGTGGAAGAATAAAAACAGTATACTTAAGACCACCTAAGTTTTTAACTACCCTACATTACTTAACATGGAGGTGATGAACCTCACACGGTGCCTTTGGCCTGCCTGTGGCACAGCATGTACCAGAGTCTCTTGTATGCCTGTGGGAGGTGGACAAGGGTTTCCACCATCTCAGCTGAATGCTGGGAAGCAACCCACTAATTCAGAACACACTGGTTGTGAACAAGCAGCAACTGGCAAGTCAAAGGAACTGATGTTAGCATAGCCTTAAAAGGAAGGATTAACCAAGGCTCTCGGGAAATTGAATCATAAGCTTTAATAAATTTCACTACTTCAGACCATTAATTCTGTTCTGGGGGCTTATCCTACAGAAATAATCAAGCCTGCAGAAGGGCTTTTATGCACGAAGGTATTCATCAAGATGAAAAGGTGCATATTCAACGACCAGAAAGTGATTTTAAAAGTGTATAAAAGGATATTATACAGTAATTTAAAGCCATATTTATAAAAAATGTTCATACTGTAATACAAAAAGCGAATGATCCACTTCTACAATTGAACATGCATTATGAACACAGCTCTGGATGAGGAATTTTGCACAGGGGGAAAGATTGAAAGGATCTAAGTCGGATGCTAACAGAGAAAGTTTGTACAGGACGGCCATGAATTTGTAACTCATTTACTTCTTTTGACTTGTCTACGCTTTCCAAATCTTCTTACAATGAGCAGATATTACTTACAAAGCAAAGGTTTTGGATTTTTTTCTACAAATTATCACCTAAACAACTAAGATCATTTTTCAATATGTTCTGAGAACATCAAAAACAATCTATCAATTCCTGTATACATAGATTAGCCCAAGAAAACCCCACTGGAAAGATGATCTTCACCTAGGGGTAGAGCTACACTCACTCTGAGCAAAGGATGGAAGAGCAGATTTCTAACTACATGGTGAGGGAAGGGGAAAGGCCTCCCAAGTTTTCACCACCTTCAATGTCACAGACTTCAAACAAGCGATGGCCTTCCCATGCAAACATAGCCTCAGAGGTCACCTGCTCTTCCCACAGCCAGACTGCAGTCTCCTGAGCCTCGGCCTCCAAACAAAATCGCTTCCTACGTGATTATGGGACAGATTCTTTTAAGCTGAGGTATAATCAATGGCATAGTGATTTTTTTCCTTGTCCTGAAGCAAGAGTTAAAGCTAAGGACAAATGCCTTGAGTAGGGCACCATTGAGAACACACAAAGCAACATTCTCTCCTCTTAGCCTGGACAATTAGCAAACTCGCTCCCATCTTTACTTCAAGAGCACGTGGGATGAAAATGAAAAGAACAAAAAGCAACTAAGAAGTCAGCAGTATCTGTCTTTCACCGTCGAGGTCAACAGCTCCATCCAGTTGTTTATCTTTTCCATCACATCATAGAAACTGTGACAAGTGACACAAAGAGGAGCGGGGACAGGAGCTAAGCTAATGAGTCAAGGCTATGGGAACCCCCAGCAGGCTAGCCCAGTTTCTTAGCTACTTTTCCTAGTACTCAATAAAACACCCTGACAAAGGCAACTTAAGGGAGAATGGGTTAGTTGTGGCTCAGACATCTGAGTTACAATCCACTGTGACAGAGGGGTCACAACAGCAGAAGCGTGGGACAGCCGGTCACACAACAGCCACAGTCAAGCAGCAGAGAGTGATGAACGCTTGCACTCAGCTCCCCTATATACACTACTGGATCTTAGCCCAGGGAAAGGTGCCACCCACTGCCCACCTTATGAGTCACTTCAATCAGCATAGCCTCCCACAGGCATCTCCAGAAGCCATCTCCCAGGTGACTCTAGACCTCATCAGTTGACAGTTGAGATTAACCATCAGAGCCAAGTATTTACACATCCTTGATTTGTCTCACTAGTCACTTCCTAGAAACATGGGGAAGCTACAAGCCATCGTCCTGAACGCATACAATAGTACCAGGCACCCAATAGCATCTTATAATGAGATAGTTAAGGAAGGCGCAAACGGCACACCTTCATTTGAAACAGTCTCCCAGCCCATCTTTGGTCTCTCCTGAAACATCGTTCTCTCTATGATCCTGGCATTCTGCACTTCAAGGCTTTTATGGACACAAAAATCCGTGGTGTTGTTAGAATAAAGGTAGGTCCTGATTTGGCAGATTTAGCTGATGTGGAGACTGATGAAATTCTGATCTCTGAGGGCAAAATCCAGGTAGCTGTATGGTTCCCCCACTGAATCCAATATATATCTAGACGTGAATAGGACACTGAAAGCTGCAAAATGATTTAGTAAGTAAAGGCGTTTGCCACCAAGTCTGATGACCTGAGTCCACCCCCAGGTCACATATGAGAAAGAGTAAGAACTGACTCCCTCTGGTCTCTACATGTGCACCATGGCATTGTGTGTGCATGTATGTGCGTGCACACACACATGCTTAACTAAGTAAGCACTAACCGTGTTCGAGTAAGGTAGAAAGCAGTAGAGGAGGACACTGGAAGGGAAAACTAAAAAGAAGGCCACTGGCACTTCCAACTCTGGGCTCTACCAATCGTTCTCCATGGCCCAGCAACACCGTCATGACAGTACTGGCCTCAGAGGTGCTGTAAGATTAACAGAGGAAAGAAAAAGAAGAGAGAAAGAAAGCAGGTGAGACACTCAGGGCCCAGCATGCTGAGCTCTCAGACATATTAGCCACAGTCATCACTTTGCCACCAATACTGCCCTTGCTCGCATGACTGTTACTGAAGCAGGCTGACACAAGGAACAGATAAAAGAACGGCAAAGAATTAGAGCTCTGGAGAAAAGTATGAGATAAGAAAATGTGAGCCCGGGAGGAGGTGCCTGAGAGTAGCACCTCCCACCCCCAGCAAGCACAGGGTGGGTGGAGGGAGCTGCAGGGAGCAGATACAGTTGGTAATTACAGTAACAGCTATCCTTTCCTTGGGCTTTAATGTCTGAAAAGCCCTAGCTATGGTACCTAGCAGGGATGCTCCAAGCAGAATGTGGGGCTGCCTGTTACTTCATAGAAAGCCACACGTTGGCCTGTCTTTTTCTTTTTTCCCCTTGGGGTGAAGGGGCAGGAGGATTGGGTACCACCAAGTGGAAACCACAATGAACCGGATGGCAAGGCAAGATAGGACGCAGGCTCCGGAATCAGGGAGAAAATAACAAGTACAGGAACTAGTCAGATCCTTGGGAGCAGTGATGTCAGGGTTAACATCACTGGGATGTTCCTGTCTGGGTGATGAGCCCAGGGTTCCTCCTCCTCAAGTTTATCTTGTCCCATATCCTTTGCCTTTTCTATTCTGGTCCTCTCTTCTCAAACTGCTTTTAAGAGCCATTTGACATGCATCTCTACCCGGCTCTCATCCTTAGTTGCCTTCTGGATAGCAAGGAAGCTAAGTGACATCTGACCACAGAGATGCTTCAAAGTCACTACCCTCCACACGGAAGGGAGTATGACTTCCATGAGTAAGCAGGTTTTTTTAACCTAAACAACCAGAGGGGCATGGGTTAAGCAATTATTAGAAGGTGGAGATTACAGCCCAAGACATCTGAAGACGATTCTAGAGAGCTTGGCTTTGTCCTGTCTTCTGAGTCTATGTTTAAATATCTTTAGCCATGATCATTTGAGGATAACCTTCCCCATCACAGCTCCAGACAGAAAGGTATGAGATCAGGCCCCCCAGGTGACAGCCATGGTGCTGAAACCTTTAGAGTTGACCCATGCTCCCTCAGTGAGGATGAGGAGCGGTCAGGGCTGGACCTGGTCACCTAACTCCACATCTCATGCCAGTGTCCTTAGTCTTCCCGAGAGCAGTACGGCGGGGGGCCTAGGGCACCTTCATTAACAGAGACATGAGAAGGAACTGAGCGAGGAAAGCGTCTACCGAATGCCCCTGTGGCTCCCAATTCCTAACCTCGACTCCATTGTCCAGAGACCCCAACATCCTGACCCACTCTCGCTACAAAATTGGAAAAGCCAACAGTTCAAGATTCATAAGACATCAACACAGTTCACTTTTCCTACTCCTATTATCTTCTCTTTTAAGTAAAACACTCAAAACCCAAAAATGGCTCTTTTTACATAAATATTTTCCCGGATTCCATAAGCTTCTTTTTACATAAAATCATTTTCCCTAGGTTCCATACTATTCCCAACAAACAAGGAGCCATAGGTCCAGAAGACAAAGTTGTTTCCCAAATTAAATTAAAGAGCCAGAACTCAAAATCAAAAGTCTCCACAGCCATGGTTCTAACGTTAGCCAAAGTGACTCCTCATAAAATGTGCAAACTGCTGGCCAGTAGGGGAAAAAAAATCAACAATAAATCCTTATTTAGTCCTAGCTTCTCTGAAGGTTCATTTACAAGAGAGTGATCCTAATTGCAAAGTTAACTTGGCCACGGCGGCCCACCACCACATTAGCTAGCTCTTTGTCTGATAAACCAGAAGATGGAAAGTAAAAATGGGAAGGGAAAGGTTACTGGTCAGAAATGCATTTCCCCTTGGAGAGTTTTCCTAGCCCTTAAAAAAAAAAATCACTAATGCATTGTTCTGCAAATGATACAGCCCTATTTAGAGAAAGGCAGCAAAGTATACTATTATTTTGTCGAAATCGGTTACCATGGCAGCCTGAACCCTTGACTCTGCATGGCCTTCGGCTTATATGTTTAAATATACTTCTATGTTATATACAGTTGTTTGGTATTTTGTTACACAGTACCTGATAGTGAAATCAAAGCCTCCCAATTATGTGGAGGGTGTTCTCACCTGTGAACGCATTTGTGGCCTGAAAACCAGCTTCCGGCATACTGCTCCCCAGACAAGCCTGTGTTTCAATTCTTAACTAGTCCTGTTGTGAAGAAACCGCCCGGGCAAGGCCTCAGGTCACTTCCATCTTAGCCTGTCCAAGTCCATCACTCTGCTGGTCCAACTTGGGGGAGCATCTGATGCCCGCCGGCTGTGCTCCCACACCCTGTGAGCAGGCACTACCTAGATGGCACACAGTCCAACAGCATGTGGGGCACACAGTCACATCAGCCGTCCAGCCAGAGAGTTGAAGCCATGGTGAGGTCAGGAACGAAGAAGCTGTCCTGCTGAAATCCCGCTGTCCCACCTCAAAACAAAGGGCTCCTCGGCCTCCTGGCAGCCAGCATCTCCCAAGAAGTAGGCAGTCGCAGCCTCACCAGGGGCTCTCAGGATGTTCGGAGCAGGTACTCTCTGCGCTCTGCTTCTTCTGTTCTGGCTGAAATTAAGAAGAAAGAAGTCATTTTCTTCAGGACCGTGGGAACCAGTGAGAGCAACAGACCTGCTGGGCATGGTGGTGTATACCTGTCATCCCAGTCCTGGGAGGCTGAGACAGTCACAGAGGAGGAGAAGCAGACTTTACATCGAGAGGCCTTGCCTCACAAAACAACACACCAGCAGATTAATAGGCCGACAAAATTAAAAATTAAAACACAGCTCAGCTATGACCATGACCCTTCTGTGAACACTGGGGTAACTGGTGAGGGGGACACCCCCATTTATAACTCTCAAACACATTATCCATTTTAAGCCACTCTAATAGCAGATATAAGCCCACACTCTCCAAACATCTTTCTTCAGCTACTTAGACTTCACACACACACTTAAGGAACTGATTTCCTGGGGTCTTAGAAGTGGTCTTTAGTTCCTGTCAACTGACATCGGTGCTCCAAGAATGAGGAATTAAGATCTGAAGGAAGCTTACACTGTAGTGAAGTGAAGCTTACCCAAGGGATGAAAGGTGATTTCAACCTTATCAGAACACATGATACAGCCCACCAACAGAATGAAGACAATTCCAAACCACCAGCTACAGAGAAGCAGAAAAGACATTTAATAAACTTCACGATTCCCCAACCCTGGGAGAAAAGCCCTCAGCATTAGGTTTAGAAAGAACACACTTCAGCACAAAAAGGTGACATAGAGCTGCAGCCAATACCATTCCAATGAGAAAGGCTGAAAAGTTTTCATCTAAGACCAGGAACAAGGCAAGCACATCTATCAACACCACACCCACTCACCATAGCATCCGACGCCCTAGCTGGAGAAAAAAGGCAAGAGAAAAAAATGAAAAGCATCCAATTTAGAAATGAAGCCAAACTGTCCTTGCTGGCAGACACCTGGGATTCTATATGCAGAAGAACATAGTCTACTGAAGATTGCTAGAACTAATACATTTAGTAAAGTTGAGAGCTAAAATATCAACATTTTATAAAAATAAGAACCATTTTTATGTATCAGTGCAAACTTACTAAGAAAGAAATAAAAATATTCCAATTCACAATGCCTACAGGAAGCCGGTGGTGGTGGTGTATGCCTTTAATCCCAGCACTCGAGAGGCAGAGGCAGATGGACCTCTGTGAGTTTGAGGCCAGCCTGGTGTACAAAGCAAGTTCTAGGACAGCCAGGGCTGTTACAAGGAGAAACCCTGTCTCAAAAAAAAAAAAAAAAAAAAAAAAACCAAAGAAGGAGAAGAACACAGACAGAAGATAGACAGACAAGCAGAAAGAATGAGGGTGGGAGGGAGGCAGGAAAGGAGGAAGGAAGGGAAAAAAACAATGTCAACAAGAATGAGGAGGAAGAATAGAAGGGAAAGAAAGAAAGAGGGAAGGAAGGAGGGCGGGAAGGAAGGAAGGCGAGAAAGAAGACAGAATCTAATGTTGGGAACAGAAGGCAGCGAGGGCCAGTTTATGCTTACACAAGATAGAACTGATGTGGACATCTGGTGAGCTGGGGGTCAGCACAAAATGACTGACACCAGATGTCTGGGGAACCCCAAAAGTAAACAGTGATCTCCTCCACTGTGTAACTATTGCTCACAGAATGCCATTTTTGTGTGAGTTCTGTATAAATATAGCCTTGCGGCCAGAGGCATAAGCTTTGCCAGCCTGCCTGTGTGTTTGTCTCTATATGTTGTCTACTTCTACTTCTATGTGGCCTGTGTACCAACTTGTATATGCACTTACGTGTGCCCGTGTGTAACCCATGTGTGACACCACGTGCCTGGGTGCCAGCCAGCAGCTACTTGTCTGGAGGCCCCTGGGCTGGTGAATTAAGTGTGTCTTATATGCCTGAAGCTCCTCACAGTCGCTCTGAATTCCCAGCCGCCATGCACCCTCCTCCATTCCTGGCATTACACTACATTTGAAACAATGCATTTAACAAATGAAGTAAGAATTTTTACAATATAAAGTTGCAAAACACTGATGAAGCATATTGAAGTGAACACACATATACACAACTGGAAAGATAGACCGTGTCCATGCATTAGAAGAATTACTATTGCCAAAATGATCATACCCTCCAACATGATTTACAGATTAAATATAATACCCATGAAAACAGCAATGTCATTCCTTCTGAGTTAGGAAACTAGATCCTAAATCCAGGACTGGAGCGGTGGCTCAGCAATTAAGATTACTTGCTGCTCTTTTAAAAGACCCAAGTTCAGTTCCCAGCTCATAGCTTCCTAGAACCCCAACACCAAGGTATCTAGTTCTCTCTTCTGACTTTCTTGGATGCTCACAAACCCACGACACACATACACTCATGCACATTCACGCACACAAAGAGTCTTAAAAATATTTATCTTCTAAAGGATCTTTTAATTTGTCCGATTACAAAGCCGGTGTGAGCAGATTATGAGACATCTAGATACCTAAACTAAACAAAACAGCAAAGCACCAGAAGGAAATAGCACACTGACTTACGTGGCAGAAGAAAGAACCCAAAAGTGCACATATTTACAGCCAACTGGTCTTTAACAAAGGCACCAAAAACACACATTGAGGAAAAAACTAGTCTCTTCAATAAAAAGTGCTGAGAAAACTGGAAATTCATATTCAAAAGAATGAAACTGGACCCCCATCTCTCACCACATAGAAAAAGCAATCCCAAGTTCAGCACGGATAGAACTATAAAAGACTTGGCATTTGTTAATATTGCCTTTTGGTTTGGTTTGGTTTTATATGCCCCTAGAAGCACAGGAAACAAAAGGCAAAATTAATGAATGAACTTAACATCAAACTAAGACTGTCTTTCGCATTACTAAGATAGTCAACAGAGCACAAAGACAACCTACACAATGAGAGGAAATCCATGCTCCTCAGACCAAGGAGAAACATCCAGAATATACACCAGGGGAAAAAATTATATATATGATAGGCTGAAGCCATGACTAGAAAGACCTTTGGAGAACATATGAAAACAGCCAGGAGTAGAAGAGCAAATGCCTGTGAGAGACCGGAGCCTGGCTCCCCAGTTCTTCACGCAGTCTTCTCCATACAGTAGACCTGACCACAGGACACAATTCTCTCCCTGCACGTCTCACGAGGACAAAGGCGGTGGCTATTTGATTCTCTAAACCTCCTCAGCACACACAGCCCTCCCTTTGCTGATAGGTGCCCAGTGAAGAAATCCTGAAGGAGTATCTCAACGAAGGAAAGAGATGGTTTAGCACAATGCTTCCGAAATACTGTTCCTCCCACGAGGTAAATAGGCACAGAGACAAAAGTTCAGAAAGTATTTGTTAAATAAACCCACCCCAAGCCTTGAACTTACGAATGCTATGCACCAAGCTGTCTTCAGCTCTGACCCTCTTGACTAGAAGAGGGGTGTCTTTCACCCCCTAGTGGGGCTATTTTGGTCACACCGAGTACCCTGTCCAGGAAAGACCTTTAGAGGCCGGTGACTAGAAGTTCTTTCAATTGCAGCATCTAGTCTCATTTATCAAGACTTCAGAGGTAGAAAAACCTACCCTACAGAGGCTAACTGGCCCAACTGTCCAGTGTGTAGGAGAGCCACGTCGTACATGTGTCGCTGGTACAGTTCTCCTCAGCCTCTGAACCCGGGGGTAGTTCTCTACTCCCAAAGCCTGAGGCTTGGTAAGAATATCGAGGTGGGAGGAGACTTACCGAGTACAAAAGGTCACAGGCTCAGCCTGAGCCACACACACAAAATCACACCCTCTGAAGATAGCCCATTGGCATCACACACACACACACACACACACACACAAAATTTATGCTTGCTCAGATGTTCTATTTATCCTGGAAAGGTGGGAAGGACTAACCAGGAAATAAATTCACTTAATACTGAACTTGAACGTCTTGAAACACTTTCAAAACAGAGCAACAGTAACTAAGGAAATAGAACATACCCAGTGGAAAAACACCCCCACAGGAAGGAACATTTTTAAAAACATAAACACTCCCAAAATCAAACTGAGTAAGTCGGAGGATAAGTTTGCCTTGCTAGCTGTTCATAAAAACTTATGTGAAATACAGTCCTCCTGGGAATCATTCAAGAATGAAAACTTCATTTTGCTTTCAGCTTACACACACACACACACACACACACACACACACACACACACATCCATGATAGAAACAGACTTGAAATTCAGGAAGCAGGAAGGTCGCACAGTGGGCACAGGGGCCAAAGCCCAACTGAGAAGTGCCAAATCTTTTCTTTCGAAATCAAGTAACATGCAAAAAAATTATAGCATACAAAGAGTCAACACTGAGCTTGTATTTTTATTTCCTTTCACTGAGGGCCGACTGTTTCACTGGCAGAGTGTCAGTTACCTAGGTGATGGCTAGCCTAAGCAACAGAAAGCTGCAGGCCATCGAGGCCAAGACATGGCCCATGTCTGATAACCTTTCATTCCCCCCAGGAAGAGAAAAGCCACACCAAAAACTGAAGAGGTGCTTCTCAACTTGGGCAAACTGAAAATGGAGCACATTTGAGAATTCTATCATGACATTAGCAGAATGTCTCAAATGCTGCTGGTACCTTTAAACCCAATGTGGCTATGGATTTTTCTTGAGGCAGATGTGAGAAAAAGAAAGCTAAGGGGTCCACATCCAACATGGGCTGCAGTCACTTAGATCCTCTTCCCAAAGGGCATATGGTAGAGACTTGGGCAAGGGCCAATCCAACTAAAAATTAGGGGGAGAGGGAAGGGAAAAGGAGAGCAGAGTGAGGAGGAGAAGGAAGAGGAGGAGGAAGAAAGGGAGGGAAGAGGGGAAAGGAGAAAAGAAACAAAGAGACAAGAAAGGCAAGGGGAAAAGAGAGGATGGGAGGGAGAGAGAGGGGAGAGAGGGAGAGAGGGGAGGGAGGGGGGAGAGGGGGAGAGAGAGGGAGAGGGAGAGAGAGAGAGAGAGAGAGAGAGAGAGAGAGAGAGAGGATGATATTTGTTTAAGGAAAAACACAAGTGTC